GGTTTTAGCTACAGTCATGCAGGCACCATGTCACCTTCATTATTCAGTCTCTAGCCCCCTCACAAGGCAAGCTGATGCCGTGTGGCCCGAGGCCCACCTTAGAGACACTCTGTCAGGCAGGATGCCTGAGGTTCCCTCCCCAGAGCCGGGCAAGGGCCAGTCCTTGCTTTGGAATGTGCAGGGTTCCGCCCTGCCCCGCGCACGTTCTCCCTCCAGCCCATGCCAACAGCGTACTCAGGCCCCAGAGCCACACCTGCTGGTCAGCCTCTCTCTGCCTCCACCTGGACCCTCCTCCCTGTCTCCGGGCTGACCCCTCGTCCTTCAACGCTCAGCTCAGGCATCCGCTCCCACTACCTGTGACCCAGCCTTGCCCCTGCCTGCAGCCCTGGTACTGAAAACCCGACATTTGCCGCGTCTCTGGCTGCCTTCAGGGTTTAGGTCATCTCCCTGGGCCTCACTCTCCTCGTTCGTCAGATGGACCTGCTCTCAGGAATAAGTGAGCCGTAACACACAGGGTGGGCTGGATCAGTACGTGTTCACCACTCCTTAGTAGGTCCCTGGCATCTGAGGTGTTGGAAACAGATGAGGCGTTTAATAAATAGAGAACCGTTAAACCAGACAAGGCCCCATGGGAGATTGTTTTTCTTGTGGTATAAAAAGCAAAGAACTTTCTATAAATGCTTTTCTGAAAAATTTTAGCTGCAGCTTATAAATAGCAGAAGCTCTCTCGAGTGAGGTCTTGAGAACTGAGACACGTGGGTGTAACAGTTCAGATGCTTCTGGCTGCTGGTAGCAGACCCAGCTTGAGGTGGCTCTGCAGTGAGCCGGGGGGTGTGGGCGTCTCTTGAGCAAGAAGGGAACTGGTGCAGGGCCGGGCGCCGGTGGTCCCAGAGGCTAAGGCACTTGCTGTGGCGAGAGTGAAGAGAGGCCTTTTTCAGAAGCCCCCAGAAGAGCTTTGTAAAAAGGCCAAGGTCATGATCCCGCTCCTGGAGAGAGACTGATGTTGGTAGTCTGATCAGCTTACATTTTGAGTGTATGTCCCAGGAGGTGGTGGGTCGGAGGCAGCCAGTTGAGGTCCGCTGGCTCAGACCAGGCAGGCCCACCGGGAGGGCGGGCGGCCCTGGGCCCCTCTCCCCAGAAGCACATGGCTGTGTGGAGGAGACCGAACAAAACCAGGGGTCTGCGGTGGAAGGTGGAGGGGCAGCTACCTACGCAGAGGGAAGATGAGACAGGACTGGCGGATGGATGCCTTCTCTGGGCCAGGCACGCGGCCCCTGTCATGATCATGTTTATTCTTCAGCGTGTGAGGGGAGTGTCCTCATTACAGGTGGGAAAACTGAGGCACAGAGCAGGTAAGCCCTGCTCAGCAACCCCCGACTGCACCGGTTCAGGAGACACCTGCGCTGGGCCCCACAGCTAGTGAGTGGCAGGAGCAGAGATCAAGCCCAGGTCTTTTCTTCGTGCTCGGAGACCAACTTCGTGCCTGGAAACAGGGAGCCCGTCTTGCAGCTGCTTTTAAATGGAAGGAAAATAAACACATGAGGGTGTGGGGTGGAAGCTGGGATGCAGAATAGCCGCCATGCCCCCAAAGCAGGGCTGCTTGCCCTGTAACCGGGATGGCGGCGGGTGCCCATTTGATGGAGTAGAGATGAAGAGGGCTTTTCAGTGCAGGGGCGGGGCTCTAGGGCCCACCGTGGGGTGGAATTGCAGGTTACTTCCGTCTGAGCCTCTCCTCCCCCATCTGTGCGCTGGGGCCATCATCCCGAGGACCTCGTAGGACAGGTGTGAAGTTGGCTGAGGAGGGGGTACGTATCACAGTGCTGTCGGGGCTGCCCCAGAACCATTCTCATTTTGACGCTGGAATGGGTCATGCAGCCTGAGGCCTGCTGAAGAGTGGCAGCTGACCGTGAGTTCGCGTTAGACTTGAGGTCAGCCACAACCTCCAGATCTTTTTCCTAAGCACTTCACAGCTGGATTCACACCCACCCCCGGCCTCCCTCCCTTCCTCACCAGCTTCCAGAGGCTCGCCCCAGAGTGACGGTGCAGTGTGTGCCTGTGTACAGCGACCGAGGTCATTAACACCATACCCACCTCCCTCCCGACTCGGCCATACTTCAGTGTCGTAGGGGCCACTCCCACTTTCCTGATGAGGGAGCTGAGTCTCAGGGAGCCCTGGGGAGTCACGGGGTCCCCCTTCATATCCATCAGACACTTTCTACTCCCCAACTGTATTCGTGTCTTACATGGCTGTTCACACAAATTATCACAAACTTATTAGCAGCTTAAAACAATGCACATTTATTCTCTGTATTTACAGACATCAGAGTCCAAAATCATTCTTACTGGGCTGAAATCAAGGAGAGCTGGTTCCTACTGGAGACTCCAGGGGAGATTCCTTTTCCTTGCCTTTTCCAGCTTCTAAAGGCCACCTGCATTCCTTGGCTTATGGCACCTTCCTCTATCTCCAAGTTAAAAATGCATTACTCCAGTCTCTGCTTCCACCTTCAGATGGTCTCTTCTCTAGTCAAATCTCTTTCTGCCTCAATTTTATAAGGACACTCACAGTGACATTTAGGGCCCACTGTTTAACCCAGGATTATCTCCCCGTTTCAAGATCCTTAATTTAATCACATCTGAAAATTCCTTCTGCCGCATATGGTAGTATATTCCCGGGTTGCAGGGAGTAGGACATGGGTGTCTTCATTTTATATACATACATATATATATATATATATATATAAATTTATTTGTTTGTTTGTTTGTTTTTGGCCGCGTTGGGTCTTTGTTGCTGCGCACAGGCTTTCTCTAGTTGCGGCAAGCGGGGGCTACTCTTCGTTGTGGTGCGCGGGCTTCTCATTGCGGTGGCTTCTCTAGATGCATGAGCTTCAGTAATTGTGGCACATGGGTTCAGTAGTTGTGGCTCGTGGACTCTAGAGTGCAGGCTCAGTAGTTGTGGCGCACGGGCTTAGTTGCTCTGCAGCATGTGGGATCTTCCCAGACCAGGGCTCGAACCCGTGTTCCCTGCATTGGCAGGCGGATTCTTAACTACTGTGCCACCAGGGAAGTCTGACATGGGTGTCTTTAGAGGACCACATCTTTGGTCCTGACCTGGCATGGTGTTATTTACACATTCCGGCTCCCCTGCTTCTTTCAGCCCAGCCTGTGGTGTCCATCCCCTCCCCACACCCAAGTCACCTTTGGGGCAAGACGAGGTGTGATTGAGCACCAGCCTAGGGGAGGTTTGTTTAATTCAATCACCCTATCTGTCCCGCTCGAACTGTGATTCTAGAGTCTGGCTACACAGGTTTGCTGGTTCTTCCGAGTATACTTACACCCTGTAATATGAAGGTCTCTTTCAAAAACCAAGCTTATCAATTATGTGTCTATTATACAGATGGAATGAACATTTGGAAGCTACTGCAAATTAGCAAGGAGACCATCCACCTGTACTCCCACCAGCCAAAGACAGCCCCCAGTCACATGTCGGTGTATTTCTGTCCAACCCTCTTTGTTCAGAGTAGTTCTGTTTTTCCACAGCTAAGATCATACTGCACTAGTAAATTTGCATTCTGCTTCCCTTTGTTGTCATTTCCTGCATTTCTTTAATATAGAGGCCGTGGCCGTGGGTATAATGCAGATCTTCCCTTATATCTGATACCTAATTGATCCCCTAATTCGGTGCAGGGAAACGCCCTGTCATCTGGTGCCCGCGCTGGGTGAGGAGCTTCGTGGATCAGGCCCATGGCCTGCGGTCAGCTCCTGATTGGTCACCGCAGCCCTCTGAGCCCAGTTTCCTCATCTTGGACGTGGGGACATACCCCTCCTGCCAGACAGTAGTGAGAGATCGTGTCCCTGAGCAGCCTGCCTGATGGTTGGTGCTCAGTGTGTGATCACTCAGGCCCACTGACCTTTTCCTCTCCAAGTCACCTTTGACTTTCCAGCTAACAGATGGCTCTGCTCAGAGCTTTTTCAGTTAGAAATTACGGAACTCAGTGAGCTTAAACTGAACAGGGCGTGCTGGCTCATGGCACTTCTGAGGAAGACAGAGTGGGGCCTGCTGAGCAGGACTGGATTTTCTGGGTCTCGCGCCCTCTCCCCTCCCTCCCTCCTGTGCTCTCTCTGGTGGCAGCTCATCACCTCCCGGTGCTCATCCTCTGTGCCCTGCACCTGCAGGTGGAGGAGGCCCCTCTGTAGCACCTGGAGAGAAACCCAGGGGAGATCTCTTGGCCGACTCGTGTCTCCATGTCCCCTTGAACCAGTCTCTGTGGCCAGGGACGCCAAGCGCACTGATTGAGCACTCGGGTCTCATGCCCACCCCTGAGTTAGAAGGAGAGCGAGGGACTGCGCCAGCATGCCCTGCATCCTCCTAAATGGTGTGGGGTGTGCGCAGGGGGGGCCTTTGGCACCCAAGGCCCTGGCGTACGGCTCAGCTTCCCAGGGCCCATCTCTCTGTGAGGTCCAGAAGGGCACGTGGGGGGTGGCACTGTGCCTAATCAGCCTACCCCCACCCACTTGCAGTCAGCAGGGAGGCCTGCGGAGCAGGTCCCAAAGGCACTTGTGTGCCTCTAGCCCCGCTCACCAGAAGCACCTCGAATCCGACTTCCTCCTCAGGGGCTGAGGTCGGTTCAGGCGCCCACTCTTTGGCCTTCCCTTCCTTGGCAGCAGGGCTCCCGCTGGTGCTGGCTGTGGCCATGAGCGGCCCAAGCACCTCCAGCTCCTAGTGCCTGACCCCCGGGACGGGCTGTGCATCCCGATCCTTCTTTCCTAGTTTAGCAGGGCCTGGTTAGGCTACACATTGAGAAGAGGATGGGTGGCTGCTTAATCAGAATTATCGAGTCCTGCCACCCTGCAGACGGCTCCGTCATACCGCTGAGGTTCCTTTCCAAAACTGTCATCTAATCATGTCACTTCCTCTGCTTTAAAAAATCTTTCCAAGGTTGCAGACACCGGTGGATTTGCTTTGGGAGCCGGAGTAGCTGCTGCCACCAGAGTCTGGAGCCATGAGCGGGTTTAATTTTGGAGGCACTGGGGCCCCCACAGGTGGGTTCACCTTTGGCGCTGCAAAGACAGCAACAACCACGCCTGCTACGGGGTTTTCTTTCTCCACGTCTGGCACTGGCGGATTTAATTTTGGGACTCCCTCCCAGCCAGCAGCGAGCACCCCTTCCACCAGCCTGTTCTCACTCACCACCCAGGCTCCAGCGACACAGACCCCAGGATTCAGTTTTGGAACCACAACTCCCACAGCAGGAGCAACCGGATTTTCCTTAGGGATCAACAGCCCAAAGCTAAACTTGAGCGGCACAGCTGCCACCCCAGCCACGACACAGCCCAGCGGCTTTGGGCTCGGCGGCAGCACCCTCACCAATGCCATCTCGAGCGCCGTCACATCAGCCCAGGGCACGGCGCCCACCGGCTTTGTGTTTGGCTCTACCAACACGTCTGCTGCTCCGTCCACCACACCTGGGGGCTTCTCGTTCACGGGTGGAGGCACATCCCAGACTGGGACCTCCGGCTTCAACATTGGCTCCATGGGGAGTTCAGCCCAGCCCACGGCCCTCACCGGGCTGCCCTTCACGCCGGCCACGCCAGCGGCCACTGGAGCAGGGGCCACACAGCCAGCTGCTTCCGCACCCACCGCCACTACCGCCAGTGCTGGGCCCTCGCTCTTTGCCTCGCTGGCAACCGCTCCAGCCTCGTCTGCTGCCACCGGGCTCTCCCTTTGTGCCCCAGCCACCACGGCAGGGACGCCCGGAGTGGGGACGTTGGGCTTCAGCCTGAAGGCCCCTGGAGCAGCTTCCACCACCTCCACGGCGACAACCACCACCGCCACCACTGCCACCACCGGCTTCTCCTTGAATATAAAACCACTGACTCCAGCTGGGATCCCCAGCACCACAGCGGCCTCCGGGACCGCCCCAGCCGGCCCCAGTGCAGCCACCGGGGTGTCCGCCAGCCCCACGATGACCTACGCCCAGCTGGAGAGTCTGATCAACAAGTGGAGCCTGGAGCTGGAGGACCAGGAACGGCACTTCTTACAGCAGGCCACGCAGGTCAACGCCTGGGACCGCACGCTGATCGAGAACGGGGAGAAGATCACCACCCTCCACCGCGAGGTCGAGAAGGTGAAGCTGGACCAGAAGAGGCTGGACCAGGAGCTCGACTTCATCCTGTCTCAGCAGAAGGAACTGGAAGACCTGCTGAGCCCGCTGGAGGAGTCGGTCAAGGAGCAGAGCGGGACGGTGTACCTGCAGCATGCCGACGAGGAGCGAGAGAAGACCTACAAGCTGGCCGAGAATATCGACGCACAGCTGAAGCGCATGGCCCAGGACCTCAAGGACATCATCGAGCATCTGAACACGTCAGGGGGCCCCGCCGACACCAGCGACCCTCTGCAGCAGATCTGCAAGATCCTCAACGCGCACATGGACTCGCTGCAGTGGATCGACCAGAACTCGGCCCTGCTGCAGAGGAAGGTGGAGGAGGTGACCAAGGTGTGCGAGGGCCGCCGCAAGGAGCAGGAGCGCAGCTTCCGCATCACCTTCGACTGAGCCGCTGCCCCGAGGGTGCACAGCGGGGCTGGGGACATGCAGTTACTGTCCCGTTTGGGGTTGCAGTGAAATACGTTTCTTTCTTTCTTTCTTTCAAACAGTCGTGCTGTTGAGAGAACTGTTCTGTGGTTAGACTTTCCACCTTAGCGAATAGAAAGGATTCTCAGCGCTCCGGTCCAGGCAGCAGCCTCGCAGGTGTGGTTTCTGTGTGTATCATCTGTGTGTCCTAGACTCTCTTCATCTACTACAACCACCCACCTCCAAGAGCTGGAGAAGCACTGAGCTGCCTGAGAACCACTTGTCTCCCAGCCGGGGTGCCACGCAGCCACTCTGTCCAACACACAGTCATAGGTGCAGGGAGAACAGACTATGGCTGAAGAATCTCCATCCTCAAGGAGCCAGCAGCCTGGTATAAGTGTAACCAGTATAGAGAAGTGACTTGTGAATGGAACGGACAGTGGGACATAGAATTTCAAAGGAGGAGAGAGAGGTCAGATGAGGGACTTGAATGAGGTGTTGAGAAAAGAGGTCTCACCTTGCCTGGCTGACACACCTCCTCGTCCTTGTCTCTTTATCTCAGTCTTCTCCTCGGGGAAGCCCTCTCAGCCACCCTGAAGCTGGGTCAGGTGGCCGTCCTGCATCCTGTGGGTCCCACACCACACTGAGCTTGCGAGCTCACATCTTTGGTTACACTCGTCACACTATATTGTGCCGACTGTTTACTCCTCTGCCTCGCCATTAGGTTGTGAGCCCCTGGGGGCACGGACTGTTTCTTGTTCCCCTTGTGTCCTCAGCACAATTCCTGTCACACTTGTCAAACAGGTGAACAGTAGAGATGAAACCAGCATAAAACATTATTCCACAGAATGCCTGTTAAGTGGCCAGGGTGCCAGAGGTGGCCACAGACTTGATTCTGAACCTCCCAAAGCCAAAGCAAACCTAGTCAGTTGCAGTGAGATAGACCCACGGTGTGCAGAAGGCAGAAGCCAGCCAGCTGTATCCCAGGTGTCTTTTGTATTGGTCTCTACACTGCTGCACTCCCTGAAATACCTGTGGCTGTCTGTTGCTTTTCTAAATAAAATAAAGTTTATAGTGGAATAAAAAAGCTGCTGTTAATGTGGATAACTTAGAAGAAGGTTGGGAAAAGAGCAGGTTCCAGATCAAGTGGGATGCCATTTGTCTGAAACTCAGAAGCAAGCAAACCTAAATGCACTGCCGAGGTGTGCATACACGTACAAACACACATACACGTGTTCACAACGTGGGTTCCTCTGGTGCTGATGGCAGGAGAGGAGCAGGTGGGGAAACGCATTATAGCTGGGTCATATCTTCCAGTACATGTAAATATCCAGTCATCTGTCACCATCCCCAAGGCGTGTCATCAGCGGCA